TGGCCTTCAGGGATACAAGACAGCACGTCACCTGCTGGAACACAGGGACAGCCAGCAGGAATCACAGGGATAAGAGAGGAGAACGTGGGGAAACTATTGGGAGGTAACGGTTGTGGCTGGGACAGGTTTGGAAAGGAGAATTAGAGAGTATATGGCGAGGATTTAATTCAGTAGGAGGGAAAACAAAGGGCGGCAGCTTAGGTTGAGATTGGGTGGGGAATTAATGAGAGTAATTATGGAGATTAAGGGGATTGGAGAGAGGAAGTGGGCCGGCCATACATGGAGAATTAATTAGGGGGATTTAGAAATTGCTTTCCAAACTTAGGTTGCTAATTGTGGAAAGAGAATTAGAGAGAAATCTCTAATAAAATTCAGATTTGAGGGGATTTGGGAGTTTCCAAAAATAAATTGATCTCATTAGGAAAGGATTACAAACTCAATTTAATTGGAATTTGAAATTTGAATTCTTTCCAAAGTTAAGATGATTTAAATTAGGAAAGTTTTAATTTTTTTCCCACATGATATTTTAGGAAAGTTTTTTTGAATTTCAAATTGAACAAATTTGAATTCAAAATTCTGTCCCAAAATACTTTCATCCAAATTAGGCAAGGGTTTTAATGGGGATGAAGAGGTGGGATGGTGGCCGTGGGTGTTGGACTGGGAAAAGAGGGGCTTTCGGGTGAGGCTAGAATCTGGCGGCCAAACGAAAATGGGAAGGAAGAAGAAGATGAAGATAATGACGAAGAGCAATAAGGAACAAAAGCAATTAAACAAAATATAAAAGATACAACCGCGAGCCCGGACACATCCTGCGGCTGACGGGTACTACGTTGCCCTTCTCCATGGGACTTCACGCCACGAGCCCGGACCCATCCTGCGGCTGGTGGAAACTCCGACTCCCTCCCATAGGAATTTCACTAAAGTTCTTCCCAAAGAACACAAGTGCAAAACACAATTTTTTTTTATTAATCCATCCTCCCAAATACAAGAGAAGGGGCCTCTATATATAGGCCTCAAAAGAAATTAAAAGACAGATTAGCCCCTTGGGCTTACATAAGACAAAAGGGTAAAAAGGGAAATTGCAAAATTAAATCAAAATAAACTTAATAAACTAAAATAAAATAAAGTGATCTCGGTCGTCGATCTTCAGCTCCTCGGATAAGCATGGACGGTTGGATGTCCGCATCAACAGATGCAACAATCTTAACAGAACAATTGTAATCTTTCTCAACCATGAAAGTTCTGTGTAAGGCCTCATTTAATATCTTTAGAGAATTATAGCTTAATTTCATGCTCAAGGCTCTTAATGAAATATATAGAAATAATAAATAAATCCACAGACAAATAACTTTTAGCTACAAGAGTCTTAAACCCTATATAGTTATTCAAACACACTATAATCATCTCGTTTGAATCTGTAAGTTGATCATATAGCTAATCCATATAAATTATAAACATTGAATGACAAATAATGTTCTTTTAGTTATGTTTATGATAACCCATGCAAATTTTATTTCAGTTGAAATACTTCATCAAAATAAAAGAGTATGACCCAAAAATTTTATTTTAGCAAATTCAACTATTGGGAATCGTACGTGTTGAATCATTTAAAAAAATATTCTAGCTTATCTAGAGAATGGAAAATTCATTATAATTATGCCTCCCATAAAAAAATAGTAATATGTGTTTGCATATCATAATAACATAATAGATATGTTGAAATTGTCTAGAATCTTTCTTTAACTAATTTCATTCAAGTTCATGTCTTAGTTCTAATTGATATTATGATACAACTATAAACTATGATACTAAATATGTTGCATGAGGTCTTGGATTTAAGGGTTTCTAATACAAATCTAAGAAGAGATCCACAATTTCAAGAAGATAAGTTAAATTTGTAGTTTATAAATCATTGATTTAAATAGTTAATTGTTTGTTGGGAAGAAAGCCAAAAATACACAAAAAATTCATTTACATTATAATTTTTACCAGTCACATAACACTAAGCTCACAAGAAAATTTAAGATGATGGAAGAATCACATATTCAATTGAAAGTTCACACTGCAATAAAAAAATTCAATTGAAAAAGATTTGAAAGAATTCAATCATGTACATAAACTAATAACCGAAATTAGAAAATAAAATTGAATATAGGAAACAAGTCATCAAATAACATCTAGATTTCATTGCCGTACAAGCAAGATAACTTTCCATGGGAATCTACAAGCTCTAATTGCACCAAAGGAGAAAGAATCACATTTAAGCAATACTCAATCAAGGAGAAAATCAGTATAAAATCAAAGTAAAATTGCTTTTACATGCCTCAGCCACGCCAATTATTTTCGTCAGTGTCCCCTCAATTTACAACAAAAATTAAAGGAAAATTTTTCAAAATACCCATTTGAAGAACTCGTAGGGTCACAAAAGACTAGCGAACAATAAACACAGGAATTATAATCAAGGTAAAAAAAAAGAATAAGAATCATGATAGATCCACTCATAGAGTCATTGAAGGCCCCGAAAAGTTATGGATGAGATGAGAACCGCATCACTAAGAGTAGGCATCATTGAACCGAAAAAAATATGGAGTCAAACCAAACCAAATTTGTAATAAAACAATGAGTAAGAAAAAGAACCAAACAAAAAACAAGAAAAGGAAACCCAATATAATTAAGGTCGCAAGGCAATTGTTAAGTTGAGATAGAGGAAATCACGTACGAGGCGATTCTCTAGGCACTATGTTGAATTAAAATATAATAAATGAGGTCTCGTGATAGATAGATTGAGAGATCTACATCGGTGGTGATCAAGTCAACAATAATGGCAAGCAAGCAGTGTAAGGGAGGCACGCGCACGCGCGGGGGGGGGGGGGGATCAAGGACAATAAATAACTAGAGGAATTGGAACGAGAGGAACATAATTTAGAACTCGTGATAAATCATCATTTTTTAATCCAAAAGTTCATAAAAACTTCATTATATTTTAACCAATATAGTGACGTCAACAATAATGTCAAGCAAGTAGTGTAAGGGGGATTGCAAGAACAATAAATAATTGGGGGGAATGGAAGGAAAGATGCATCATTTAGAACACATGATAAATCATTATTTTTTTAATTCAAAAGCTCATACAAACTTCACTATACTTTAAACAATAAAGGCAAAATTAATATTTAGTCAACATTGGCAAAGTTCTATCTTCTAAACTAAAAAACGGGCTAATGAAATTAAGCAAGACACGTTTCCTTATTAATATTTCCACACTATTTTCATTTATATTATCTTAGTAGAGCGCATTCTACCCTCCATGCATGCCCTAGGCCCCTAGCCATGTAAATATTTCTATTACATTATATCCAATAGATTATAATACTATCATCGCTCTCACATCATCACACCTCAAGATAACATTCTATTTTATCATAGATCTATCTAAAATTTTTTATTTCCACTCACTCAACATAAATACTAATGGAATCTTCATCATTCAACACTCAAATACATATATTATACACATTATACCTTAAAGTCTGAATGATCTCCCCTCAATGCTTAAAAGTCTTAAGGGCATTTCTCCATTTCAACCACCCAGCCCTATCTCTGGAGATTATATCTCAATCAATACCCCCATTCTTCCATATAATAAATAACTAAACCGATCACACCTGCATATCACTTGATATTCCAAGAATATTTATCACAAATTATCAATTTTACACCCACTAAAATTGCATATCATATATTCATCTTTATACTATGAATCCTCAACCTCTTATCTTAAAAAATCTTCTTCCATATAGTAAAAACATTTCACTTTTTTGAAACAGCTTCCACACCTACCAGAACCATGTCGTCTACAAACAGCACGCAGAAAGGTATCTTATTTTGAATATCCTTTATGAGTACCTTGATAACCAATCCAAACTAATATAAATTTAATATTGAACCTTGATATAATCTAATTACGATTGAGAATTCTTAGGTCACTTCATAATAATTCTTTATACTAATTAATGCTCCATCTTGCATACCTACAATAACAATAGCATAGCATTAACTTAAACTTTTTTTGTTATATGCAACAAATCAAGTTAATTATAACTTCTCAAAATTAAAAAAAAATAAAATAAAATGGTCATGATTTTTTTTTTTTTTTGCTATCAATACTTTTTTTATCAATTTCTCCAACAAAAAATCTCCATTGTGAATCTAGTTGGCATAATATCATTCTATGACGCTGACATAATTTTCCTAAGCTAAGTTCATTACCCTCTCCCGTAAATAAAACCATCCTCAAAATTGACAGTAACAAAGAAAACGCCATTAAATAGATATCTACGTGGTAAAATTTCATGCCCAAATCAACAAATGTCACCGATTAATCGGACATCCAGAACTGTATGATAAAAATAGCTGACAAGTGAAGTGTGAGAAGCAACTCAGACTACTGCAAAATGTATGAAAATCCACGTGCAGTATGTGTATAGCATAACTCAAAATGACAATCAATTTTGAATCAGGACTCCGTTGGCAAGAACTTGACAACCAGCCCACCATAATATTCATCACGTTATCTCGTAGCTGCGTGGAGCACCAGCGGCAAGAGCACATCTCCAGAGACCAGAAATATTCATCCAGAATGCAATTGTTAATGCAATTTAAATATTGCAGCATGAAATCAAATATATATAACTATTTACAAGACGCCAGTTAACATAGTCACATAACTTAGGCTAGATATAAATTGATATTATTTTATAAGAAAGTTTATCCATTGTTTTTAAACTATGACTCAGGCGCAAAAACACAGGTGGGTCCAGGATGCTCATGATGTTTATGCAGCAGATTTATGATGAGTAATAAGGATCAGCATTATCAATACCAGAATGGTTCTCCCATGTAGATGATTTCACCTTTATGGACATGGTACTTCAAGGCAATTACGCAAATGAGCACAGGACTTTTGAGAAAGTTATACAAATTGGTAGAAGCATTATTACCCGAGCAGGATCTTTGATGCTACCTCGTCCTCTAATCAGCACTCGGCACTCAGTTGTAGCTTCTAATCTTTTAAGAGAATTTCCTCTAGGCCCAAGAAGCCGCCCAACAAAGTTGTACTGAGAAAGAAACCAATAAATAAAGAGCAAAGTCATATTAATCTCGGTAGAAACAAATTCAATTCACAAAAAACTCAAGTAAGTACATACTGTTGGATACTTATCCACTGGAATATCCACCCTAATTGTTTTCTTTATGTCAATACCAGAACTGCCTTGAGAACCAAGCCAACCATGCGCCGGTGAGTGCTGCAAATTTGCCAACCATCAAATGTTAGAACTAGAAATGCTGATAACTAGAAAGATATTAAAATAAGGAATAAATTAAATAAAAATAATCATAGTGACACCACTTTTGAATTTCAAGAAGCAAACTGATGAGGACATCAGATTTCGACATGTGTACCTGATGGGGACATCAGATCATCATGGAAAGTTTATCAGAGACGTGGCCTCCAATCTCTGTTTAAAATTGCGCAACAAGAGGCGCGCCTCTGCGCAATTCTTCCCAAAGGCGCCTCGAGGCGCACGCAATTTGGACCCTGGTCGAGGCGTACGCCTCACCCTGTGTGAGGAGCGCCTCAATTGCGCAATTATGGGTGAGGCGTACGCCTCATCCAAATGGTCCCACCTACTTAAAATGAGCATTTTTTCCCTTATACCCAATCGGCTCCCGGCATATCCCGATAATTCCCTGCCTGCAAGCTCCAGGTCGCGAAACCGAGAGCCTCCCGCACGGTCGGCCACCCTTCCCTCCGCCTCTCCCGCCGGCACCGCCTCTCTCTGGCGAACTTGAAGTGTCCGACCGCCTTGTAGGAGAAGTCCAAAAACGATTTTAGGTATTTTTTTTAGTTTTTGGTTAGATTTTTCAAGTGAAAGAAATTCTAAGGGTTTTTTATTTTTTGAATTATTTTTGTGTGATTTTGGATTCTTTCATTAGCGATCATGATTAGAGGCATGGAAAAGGGGTCTTCGTCATTGCAGAGGGACCCTTCTTTGAAAATGTGTGTACAAGTTGATATAGGCGGCGGAGAGAAGAGCTATGTTTATTTGAAAATGTCATACCTTTTAATGTTGCTACGTCGCCTGCCTACTTCAATATGTTGCGATCTGTAGGGTTGTATGGGAGAGGGTTGAAGGCACCTTCTATTGGAGTTGCGAACATGGATTTTAAAGGAGGAGCTGCTGAACACAGAGCGTAGCATTGATGAGATTAAAAGGACATGGATTGAGATTGGTGTAACCATTATGTCAAATGGATGGTCTGACATGAAGAGCATGAGCTTGATTAATATCCTTATCAACAATCCCTACGACACGGTGTTTTTACGATCAGTTGAAGCTTCAGATGAGGTGAAAAATGCTACATTCATTTTCAATTTACTTGATGGGGTTATTGAGGAGATTGGGGAGCAATTTGTTGTCTAGGTAGTGACTGATAATGCCAGTGCATACAAAGCAGCTGGTCAGATGTTGATGGAGAAGAGGACACACCTATATTGGACACCCTGCGAAGCACATTGTATCGATCTCATTTTGGAAGATCTTGGTGACTTACCTCAGCACACGAGTGCTCTTTCTAGGGCGAAGAAGATTGCAAAGTTCATCTAAAATCACTCATGGGTCTTAAGCTTGATGAGAAGGATTTCAAAGAAGGAAATCATTCGCCCTGCAACCACTAGGTATGTTCTTAAATTTGTACATTACAAATCATTCCTACCGTATATTCTTATTCCTACCTAATGTTCTTAGTTCTTACATTTGTGCGCTGTCAATCTATAGGTTTGTCACATCCTATTTAACACTGCAGAGCCTGATGGAAGTGAGGCGACCTTTGGAAGCAATGTTTACTTCAACTGAATGGCTTAACTCTGCTTGGGGGAAGAAAAGTGAGGGGAAGGAAATAAAAAAGATTATTCTGAATGATAAATTTTGGGCTACTGTGACCTATGCCATATTTAGTACGAGACCCTTAGTGCAAGTACTACGCTTAGTGAATGCAGAGAAAAAATCAGCTATGGGTTTTATTTATAATGCTATGGATGAGGTCAAGGAGTTGATTGCACACAACTTGGGAGGAGATGAGGCAAGTTATAGAGAGATTTGGGATATCATTGATGCTCGGTGGGAGATGCAGTTACACCGTCATCTACATGCAGCGGCATATTATTTAAATCCTCAATTTCAATATTCAGAGAAGAAATCTTCAAACCCGGAGGTGAAGCTTGGTCTGTATCATTGTATGGAAAGATTAATACCTGAGCAGGCAGATAGGGAGCTTGCAGATTTACAACTTGTTCTATTCCGAAATAAAGAGGATTTTTTTGGTCTGAATGCAGCAAAATCAACTATTGCCAAACGGTCTCCATGTATAGTTATTTTGATAAATGCAAGATCATTTATTTAGTTCTGAATTCTGATTATATTTTTTCTTCTTGAAAACAGTTGAATGGTGGATCCAATTTGGTGATTCCACTCCTGAGTTATAGAGTTTTGCTGTAGGAGTGTTGGGCCTCACTTGTTCTTTTTCTGGGTGTGAGCGAAACTGGAGTATATATAGTCAAGTGCAAACAAAGAGAAGAAATCGGCTATCAACACTCAGAATGAACTCCCTCGTATATATTATGCACAACAAGAGGTTAAGAGATAGGAGGTTAAGGAATAAGGGGTACTTTGAGACATGATTTTATTGCATCTATTTTGTTACTTTCCACTATTTTGATATATCATTTAGATGTTTTTATTGTAAGATAGAATATTGTTATTATTATCATGCTAAAACCCTTAATTTCTCATTTACGCAATTCTGTGTCCGTGAGGCTTACGCCTCAGACCGCCTCGAGGCTTACGCCTCGCCTCACAGACGAAAACCTCCTCGAGGCTTAATTACGCAATTTTAAACCTTGCCGCCGATCTACGGCCACGATCGAGTCTTTATATTTCTGAGTCATTGGTGTATTTTATTATTCATGTATTTTGTTATTTGATTAGGTGTATTTTATTATTTCCCGTTGTACCCCTCTTATGGGAGTTGTCGTATGTAAGCCCAAAGGGCATTTGTGTCTTTTGTTTTGAGTCATTTGTATGAGGCTATTTAAAGCCCTATTTTTTTCTATTTTGATTAATGGATGATTGATTATTAAAAATTTCTTTTTGCATGAGCATTGAGAGCTTGAGGGTTCTAATGGAGAGAGCTTCCTAGAAGAGGATGGAGATTTGCACAATACCCACCAACCTAGATAAGTCGGGTTTGTGGTTTCTTTCGTTTATCGTGTTTTCTTCTTGTCCTTTGTTTCTATCTCCTCCTCCCCATCCTCACTTAGCCGCCGGATTCTAGCCCAACAAAATCCCCTTCCCTTCCCCCTCACCCCACGGCCAAAATCCCATCCCGAACCCCTTTGCCGCCGGCTACCACCACCTAGCCGCCGTTCCCCCTCTCCACTCCCTCCCCTATTGAGTTTTATTGCCTAATTTGGATGAACCTATTTTGGGACAGATTATAAAATTCAAACTCCTTTAGTTTGAATTTGAAATCTTTCCAAATCTACCCAAAATCTATTTTTGGAAAGTTACCTAAATTAAGCCTATTTGAATTTTAATTCAAATTGGATTTATTCAAGTCTTTCCTTATTTCTAAATCCAAAATTGGGAAGCTCTTAAACTCTCTTCACTAAGTTCCATTGGACCATCATTGCCGCCGGCCCCTTGATGATGGGATTAGGAATTCTTTCATAAAACCCATCCCCTCTCTTTGGAAATATTTCCCTTCCCTCACCAGCCGAAAATTCCAAAGTTTAAACCTTTAATTATTTCCTAAAACTAAGAAGTGGAATAAGGAAATAATTCCCAATTCTTCTCTACATCCCGCCGCCCCCTTCACTGAATTTCTCCTAAAATCTGTCCATGTTATATTGTTCTCATTGGAGAGATTTGGGATTTGCCACCTGCTGTTGACCGAACTTTCCCCAAGACCCCACCTTGGGTTGCTTCTCTCTCTCCCGCTGGAATACTTCAAGGGAATTAAAGCCTCAATACTTCTCCCTCTAATTCCACCTTGTTATTGTAAAAATCTGAAACTTTCCTTCAGATTTTGGAGATAAAATCTGGAACTAATTTCAGATTTTGGTCAAGAACATTTGAGAGTTTGTTTCCATCAACTTGCAAGAGGAACTTCTTTCTCTTTGCCATTGTTTACAAGGAGTTATCGACGGCTAAGGAGATTTCACCATCACTACTCATGAATGGCGGATCTGGAGACTGAGTACGGGATAACTTGGGACGAAGACGGCTTCACCGACATCCTACGTTCCACCTTCTTCGACGTGAATCTTGAGATTGACCGTACCGTTTGCTTTGACGGAAGCCATTGACGAACACTTTGAAGGCGTCGAGTGGAGGATCTCCACCTCTCCCTAGCGAAGGTTTTCTCTTTTCTCTTGCGTCTATTTCTTTTAGTCTAAATTCTCGTTGGTTTGATTACAGTCACGACAGACTCTTCCAACTGCTCTTGCTTAAGCTTAGTAATCGTAGGATTTGAGCGCACTTTCAATGCATCCTAATTCTCATTGTTAGATTAGGGATTAATTTGAAAACCACTACTACGTGTTGTGTTATTTTATTCCTATTTATTTTGGAAGTTTCAAACTCTCATCATGTGATTTAAGCCTAATCGGATAACCACTTATTGTTTTATTTCGTTGTTCTCATTTGCCCGTAATTTTATTCTTGAATTATTCTAATCATAAGTTGTGCAAGTCCAAATGAATTAAGCACTGCATCCATAGTCCTGCATCAGTACCGTCGCCGGAGTCGGAGATCGACGGCTACGATCCATAATCTTTACTTTTGATATATCTTGTATTTTATTTGTTCTTGCATTTTCTATTTTTCCTAGTTTACCCCTGTGGGTATGGAGTTGCTATTGTAGCCCCGAGGGAATCTGTGTCTTTCTAGTTTTCTTTCATTTTTGGCCTATTTATAGGAAGACATCTTGCATTATAATAGATGATGAATTATTGAATGAAATTTTATGTTCATGTTTTGATCTCTAAGTGAGTTCATGAGAGGAGAAACCCGAGGAGGGTGATAGCAAGACCCATCAACCGGTGGAGGATTCCAAGGTTCGCGGCCCCGATCTCAGGAATGTTCAACTATCTTGTCTGATTTATGCTCCTGTATTCGTCTCTCTTCTGCTGATTTATAGATTATAAATTTAGCTATGCATAAATCCAAGCTTCACTTGACTATTTTAACTAAATGTGATGTTATAGCTAGATTTAATATTTCATTCTATCTCCCATCTCTATATGTATGGGCTAGTTGCCGTAGACATATCTCCACTCCAGGTTTTCTAGATCACAGATTGATGCTTGCTCAAATTCAAGCATCAGTTGACTGTTTGAACAAAAAGATTATTGTTATAGCTGAATCCAAAGATTCTTATGGTATGTTGTAGTTGTAGGTAGTAGCAAATTCATGGACATGTAGACCCAGCCAATGACAACAATTAATCTTGTCGAAGTGAAATTAAATTATTTGTGGATGCAACAATGCAAGGCACATCTCTTCCATTTTCATGTTCATTAGTTTGTTCAATATTGAAAATATAATTGCATTACTATAATTTGGATGTATGATGTGATCCTTGAGTTGTGTCATGACTCACCCTATCTTTAATCAAGCGTACACATTTGTTATCTGAATAAATTTAAATGAGTGGAAGATGAGAGAATGTGTACCGTAGATGCAATGATCCAAGAGAGGTATTTATTTGAAAATAGTTTTATAGCATTTTTATTTAAAATAAATTTGGGATTTTAGTGGCTCTTTCAGTAGATTTAAATTAGTTTGTTGTTAGAAATGTTAGCAAACGCAAAATTCAAATACTTGTCTGACCGTCGGTTCCTGTCTCATTAATTCAATCCTCCAGGCCAAGTTGTGACAAAATGAATTTGGCATTCGTAGTTGAAGTTACAAAATAAACTATATAAAACTAACTACTCAATTTACTGAGTATGCATCTTCACAACAAAAAATGCACAACAACATCAACAAAGAAAGAAATCAAAATCATTACCATGTTTATGTAATCGATAGAATTAAATTAGCACAAAGCTTAGAAAACAGTCGGAATCAAAAACATAAGAGTATATATCAGATCTATAGAAAGATTATGTTGGTTAGCATCATACTTCTGATTGAATTGCTGATGCCCATCCATTCATATCTGCTGCTCCATTTGAAAATAATCCTCCATTTGTCATTGGGCTACCATGTTCAACCCCAGCATGTTCTAAAAGTGATGCATTTCCCAACAACGCAGTTAAACGCAAAATTTCTGCAACATGATTGAAATTCATGCATAAAATGTACCAGTTAGCGTGACAATATCCATTAAGAGAGTGAAAAATAGGTTTATTAAATGGATGCTATAAAAGAGGTTAGATTCATTCTAATTGCAGCTAGTTGAGTAAAAAAAGAGCAAAATGGGAAAAAAAAATCCACCGCATGACAACAAGAAATTAACATCGTAATAGAACAAAGGTATGGCTAATCCTAAACATATTTAAGAAGCTACTCACTAATCCAACAACAAACTGTTGAAAAACATTAGAACTGCAATGCCTGCATGCATGCTTTCTTTACTGAGAACTGCAATGCCAAAAAATGACCCACCATCTCTAACCTCATCCAAACTATAATCCTCCTACATCCAGTCCTGATAAGTGCTAAATGAGGTGATGAGTGAATGAGGTTTTGACTTGACATGCTAGTCCTGCACTACGGCTACCCAATTACCTTTAGTCCAACAGTTTTCATTTTCCACATTAATTTTATATACCAAATTTATTGATACATCTCCCTTTCTTTTACACACCCACATCACGTAAGTCTATTTTTGGCTATCTAATCTTCAATAGATGTTACATCCACTATCTAATAAAATCATTTTTCACAATATCTTTTTATTTTTAACATCCTCTTTACTAGCACAGTCAACTTGGGTGACTTTTTTATGCTAAACTATTTGCCAAATATAGTACTGGCATACAGCTGAAATACAGCTAATAAAAAGGTCAAGGCGCCTCAAAATGAAGAACCTCAAACTGATATCACTGCTTTTCAAAACCCAAAATTGCACCTCAAAAGAAAATATCCTTAAAACAAGACTGTATGTAAAAGACATGCAAGGATTTAAACATGTATTAAGATCTTTTTGGTTTCACCATCATCTTATAGGAAAATTTACAACACATTTGACAAAAATTTAAGAGAATTTTCAAAGCTCAATATATGTGCATTAGAGAATATTATTTTGGGTACTTCCATTCAGTAGATTATCATGCATATCTTAACAACTGATCACGGAAGATCAAATGTGGCATCGTAAACCATCAAAATTAATACATGAATTGTGAATTAAGCATTGACCATCAATAATGCAAGTATTTGACTGGATTGTGCAAATTGTTAGCACATTATAACTTACCATCCAATGCATTTTCGTAGAAATTAGATTTTAAGATTGGGGACTGATAGTCACCACACCTTGAGCAGATGATTGCACACAAACAAAATAGAAACTAAGCTTCCGATGTTATCAAACATTGAAATACTCTTACTTTCTTCAATGAGTTGTTGGAGAACAAGTGAGCATCCCATGAACAACTTATGGTTGGATGTAGAAGGAAGAAGACAAGGATCGACGCCCTGGATTCTCAAATTCAGATCCTATGTCCTCCATGTATGAAATTCGAACTTATTCAATCTAAACCCAATGCCCTAGGTTTCAATGGCTGTTCGATCCTCTAATTCAAATGGCTAGCATTTATTTCAACTCAAATATTAGATTTCTATTTAAAGTTAGATTTTGAAAAAATTAACCTAAAAATTGCAGGGACCTTTTATATGCTAGAGTTTCAATTTCTTAAGGCTTCGGAAAATTATTAGATTGGCTTATTTAACTATAAAATTTTTGAAATTAAGTTGGCATATTCTATGAACCATCAAAGGTCCATGGATTAAATTCCATGCTATTTTAAAAATATCTAAAAGCCTATTTGTAAATTTAGTAAAGCATATATTTAAATTTCGCAAACAATCACCCTTAATCATGGGAACTCGGAAGGAAAATCTGAAAATTTCCCAAAAATGTAAGATCACCTTCAATATGCTTAGGAAAACAAATAATAGATTAATCTAAAATTGATCCTATTTGATTTCCTAAGCCATAAGTGTACCATACCTATTTTAATGAATCCAAAATATTTTAAAAATATGAACATTTTTTGGAATTGTCTACCTCTTTATGGGTAGCGTTTTGAAGCTTCCCCAAGCTTCAAACAGTTCATCCCATGCATCTTATAATCTTCTTGGAGTTAGCTCACAGAAGCCTTAGAATCACTTTAATTCAAGTTGAACCAAACTCAATCTAATCTTCTCATATTTAGAATCTGCTTGTTTGGTGCTTTCTTGGGCTTACTTGTGATTTTCAAATAACCTTCTAAAGTATTTAAGAGGGTATTAATAATCCTTCGGACCAATCCTCAGTTTCATTAGCCTATATATTTGAGCCAAAATTAACATATAGCTTTAATCATGCTTAAGCCTCAATCCTAACTCTCTTGACTTGATTGACTGAATTAATCAGGCAACATCCCGTCTGTTTGAACCAAAAAGTTCTAAAATCTATCATTGATTTGCAGCCCTAAAAAACCATATTTGAAATCTTGGATTTATTTGTTCAATAAAAGTAGAGTACACATTTTCGTTTGTTCAAGCCGTATTAGTGCCATGTTCACTAAATCCCATTATAATTTGAACTTCTCATTTATTCACTAATAATACTAAAATTAGAATTATATTTTTTTTATCTTATTTTATTTTTTTTCCATTTTGGTTTTCCTTGTAAGTGGTCAGAATGGTCTAGAGAAAGGAACCATCAATCAATAAAACTTACTATTGAAATATTAAATGCATCAAAATGCTTATTGTTGTTTTATTTTCCCCCAATAATTCTCTCCCTCTCTCACAAACATATTTTCTCTCTCTTTTTCAGTATTCCGGAGACATTTTCTCTCTTTTTCAGTATTCAGGAAATGCTGTCCAATAACTTCTCAATCTTCATGAAGTTGCACATGATCAGCATCTAAGGGTATCAGAGCACTTGAAGTATAATTAACTAGAGCATTCAAGTCAGAGGTGCCTTCAAAAACAGTGATTTATAAAAAGAAACAGAGGTTGGCAACCAAGGAGTTGTGCTTGATCAGCATATAGTGGCATGAGGCATCAGATGACTTAAAGTATAATTAACCATAGTACTCGATTTAGAAGTGCCTTCAAAGGCAGTGACTTATAAAAGAAATAGATGTAGGCAACCATGCAAACATTATATATATATATATATATATATATATTCAAAAAAATTGTCCAAATTAGATTGGTTGGTGCTATTAAAATTGTGTTGTCAATGCCATGCTAGGATGAAACTGATGTGAAACGTATATATGAAGCAGGAATTGCATAAAATTAATAAAAGTGGTTTGAGCTCTGCAAATTACTAAACAATGCTTCACAAAGAGGAATTCTAGGAATTACTTGATTTTGATTTCAAAATAGCAAATAGTTACAATATAGAGTAGCATAATACGTAAGATAATTCAAACTTTTGCAACACTTACGGCGGTAACATAGAATCCACCTCCTAACAATTAGAAAATTCGCATGTGAGTTCCCCTCACTTTCGCTTGTTGAAGTGGACTTAACGGAAGGAGATCTTAAGCAACAACATTGATGCCACTAGTAAACCGAGAGCACCAAGAATATTGGTCAACGGAAAGTTATCCGGATTCGAAGGAGTCGGTGGACGATGAACAATCAACAACCGGTTGGAGGAGATGTGTTGATCGATGGCGGTAGATAGCTGAAAGAGAATTTTGTTCACGTAGTCTTCCACGAATTCGTCGAACTCCAAATCAAGGTCAAAGAAGGATGACTATAGATCATCGACGAAGCCTTCTTGATCATAAACGAAGTCGGAATCAAACTCTGGATCCGCCCTCCATGGACAAAGGAGCTTCCTCTCTTGGGAATCCTTGAGGGCCGGCGGCTTGTAAAGGAGGGACGGAGGGGTGGAGCCGGTGGTTTGGAAGGTTTGGGTAGAGGAGGGGAAAGGCTAGGGTTAGGAGGGAGCTTGGGATCTTTTAGGGTAATTACCTAGGATGATAATTAATCTAGAGACTTAATAGGTGTGGAGGGAAATTAGACTTCAAGCTTTGAATCCCAAAATTTAGGGCAAGGATAAGGGGGCCGACGGCTAGGGTTAGTTGGAAAGGATTTGGTTTGATTGGGAGAGGGTTTAATTAGTGGATGGGTAATGGGATCAAAAGAGACTTAAAACCCAAGGAGAACACTTAAGAGAAACAGGACACAACTTAATCCAAAAACAAGTGAACAACAATCGATAAAACAAACTCGATGCAAGAAACTAAAGATGTTTTAGAAGAAAGGAAGGAAAAAAAAAAAGAAAAAACTAAAAGAAATCAAAATTTAAAAACTAAAAAAAAATCTCCTCAGAACAACCAACTAGTGGTCACCTCACATGTAACGATAAAATAAGAAATTAGAGTGCTCTTAATAACATGCAAACCAGTGGTCCACCACAGCAATCACGATCCAACACCTGTTGAAACTCCTCCAGCAAAACAAATCAGCCAACAACAACACCTCTTACACCTTTTGTAGAGAAGAAAGATACAATGGGGTGGAAACTTAAAGAGAGAAGATATAGATAGAAGTCTTAGAGGAAGAAATAGGTAGAAGAAGAAGCTCTCAAGCTTAGGAAGAAACCCTCAGGTTTTTAGAGACAAATATCAAACCCCAATAGCAGCCAACATCTCTCATTTAAATAGGGAAAGGATATCAAAAGACACCCAAAGCAGCCAACTAGAACAGAGAAAAAACCCAAGAGAAAAGGCACGGTAGAACCACAAGCCGAGCAGCCAGACCACCTCAAAAGACAAGTCAAAATCGGAACAACTAAGAGCCGAACATACACCAAGAAAGGAGCACAGCAGCTCAGGAACCAAGCAGCCAATTGCTCAAAAAAATAGCCCTCAATCAGCCACAACTCTCCAAACACCAAACAGCTAAAGAAACATGGGTCAAGCCCATTTAGATGAATTTCAACCCAATAATAATTACCCAAAGAACCAATAAAGCTAGTAAACCAAAGGTGGACATGACCCAAGAGCACTCTACCTACACATGATCATTGATTGTCTTCAATCATTGGGGAAAAATAAAACATAAAATCCACATTACAATAGAGTTCAAAAT